GGCTCGCAGCCTGTCCCCGCAGCGGGGAAGGGATGCAGGGGGCAAGGCGGGAGGAAGGAAGGTGAAGGATGGGATGGGAACGGGGATGTAAGGATGCTGGGCTGGGGGGACCGGGCTCAGAGGATGGAGCAGTGATGGAGATGTGGGCTGGGACCGGAGGAGTGCTGGCAGGGGCATCAAGGTGGTGGGAAGCAAGGGATACCTCCTCTTTCTGTGAGGGTTTGTGCTTGGTCGTGGCTGAGCCCGTGGAGGAGCTGGGGGCAGCGGAGACAGAGGTCCAGCTGTGCATCTGCCTGTGTGGGAAGGGGCTGTCAGTGTGCTGGTGGGTCTGAGCTCCCCAAGGACCTGGTGTCCCTCTGGGCTGAGCTCAGAGGCTGAGGTGACTGCTCATCTCCACACTGCATTAGCTGCTGCTGGCTGAGCCCCAGCATGCCAGGTCCGGCACTGAGGAGTCCTGCATGGGAGGGGACAGGGATGGGCCAGCTGGCAGCTGAGGAATTTGGGCCCGTTGGAAGCATCTGTGATGGGATGCATGCACAGGCCAGGCTCTGCAAGAGGGGTGTGGGAGGGAGCAAGTCTGAGCCCACAGCAGCAGCCAGAGCAGTGGGTCTTGGGCTCACGGGCTTTGGCCAGAGCAGAGGCACTGCAGGGGCTGGGCTGCTTGGGCTGAAGTGCTGTGGAGGGGGCACTGCTGGCCTTCCTGGGCAGCTCTGCTGCGGGGTCTGTGGGATGTCTCCTGCTGTCTGCTGCCCTGGTGGGAAGAGCTGTGGTAGCCTGGGAATGGCAGGAATAGGAGCATGATATTAGTGGGGCACATGCAGCATGAGGTCAGGGGGTGCTACGATGTCACCATGTTGTCACTGCTCTGGGATGCCTTTGGGGTACGATGAGGCCCCTGTGCGATGTCACACAATGTCACAGCGCTGCTGGAGGTGGCTGCGGCCCGGCACGGGATGGTGCTGCAGTGGTGGAGCATGACATCACTGGGGTGCGTGGTGTGGCAGGCAGCAATGTGACAGTGGTGCGCAGGATGGGGTGGCCGCACACAGCACCAGATCCCACCTTCCCCATGATGTGGGCTGAGGGCTACGAATGTGCATGCGGGTACAAAAAGAGTCCTGGGGACAGCATCTCCCTACTTATGTTGAGGGGTCTGGGGCACAACACCCTGCCTGGCCCATGGCTCCCTTCCCAATCTCATCCCACCCTCCCCACAGGACATGGCCAGCTGCAGCCATGTGTGGAGACAGGTGAGCCCTACACGCTGCATGTCTGCCATGGGGCCAGCACCCTGTCCCTGTGCTGCCTGGCTGCAGCATGGGTGGCGGTAGCACCCCTGCCTTGCTCCCATCCTCCCACTGCCTTTACCCCTGCCTGACACCTTGGCTTCCTGTGACCAGGCTTAGCCATGCTGAGCAGGCACCCTGGGGTAACCGCAGCTCCTGGGGTCACCTTGCCACCAGGTGCCACAACATAAGCCAGGACGTGGCTTTGCTGGAACAAGATTGGCTGAGCTCTGCCCTGTGTACGATCAGGATTCTGTCACCTCAAACCTCAGCTGGAGCTTCAGGCTGGGGCCTCGGTGCTGTCAGCAGCACTCTGGGAACCACGAGGCCTTCCCTGTCTGCCAGGCAGAGCCTTAGTCTGCCTCCCTCCCCCTTCCAAAAATGGCCTGGCTCTGGGCCGTACATCCCTTCCCCATGGCACCAAGCACCGGATCCGCTGGGAAAAGCCTTTTGTCTCCAATCAGGAACATTGTTTCCTCTTGGAAAGTCTCCATCCAGCCTGCAGGGATTTTGGCTGCAGGTTGGTGGGGTGCGGGAGCAGTTGGGGAATGGGCCAAGCTGCGAGGAGCAGGAGCAGGAGGAGAGGCAGAGAGCCCTGTTGGTGGCCTGGGGACAGCCACCCATTGCCTGGCTGGGGCTGAGGGGCACTGCTCTGCATTGGTGGGACCTGATGTGGCAGCCCTGCACCCATATGTCCACACATGGGTGGCTTTCCCCAATGTTTTAGTGAGGCAGTGTGGGGGGTGGCAAAGGCCACCTTCCCACTGCCTGGCACTGCAGAGTGACACCCTGGGAGTGTCCCATCCCTGTGCAGCCTGGTGCAACATCATCACATGTGCCTTGCATGAGGCACTTGCACCAGGGGAAGATCCAGGCTCCTGCCCCTGGAAAGCTGTGCCAGTCAGGGTGGCACAGTGGGGAGAGTGGCACTTGGGCAGAGTGGCCCAAGTCTGGCTGGATGGTGAAGAGCATGGTGCCAGAGAGGGCTGTGGAAGGATTTGGGTCAGGCCAGGGAGGGAATGGGAGTAGCACAGAATAGAGCTGTGGACACAACACACACGCACATCCACACTTGCATCCGTGCCTGGAGATGGGCGGGATTGGAGTGGGGCCTGTGCAGTGGGATGCAGGGCTCTGGGTGTGTTCAGTGGTGGGGCTTAAGGTCCTCTCTACAGATGGAAGACAGCCTCTTCCTACCCAGCCAAGTGGACAAGAAAGCTATTTGCTTGTGGCAGGGAAATCCTGGGCCCCAAAGACCCTTGGGATCATTCCCATCCCCAGAGGAGGCAGCAGCAGGCTGCTCCTGCAGCCTGGTGGGTCTTCCAGGATCTAAACCACCCCACATCTTCCCTTCTCCAAGCTGGGCACGTGGCACCACACAGCTGCTGCAGCTGCTACAGCTTTCTTTGCTTGCTGGCAGAGTCTGCAGCATGGAGATCTGCTGGCATTGTGGCTGTTCTCCCCTATCCCTGTGCTGGGGCATGGTTCTGGCTCCCCAGGAAGTGGGGGCAGCCCTGTATGACCACCAGCATGACCACATGGAGCAGTAATCCTTGGTTGATGGCTGGATGCCCCAGCCATGTCTCCAGGCTGCAAGGATGGGACAGGTTGCTCTTGCTCCCCCTGGAGCACTGGCACATGGGTTCATGCCCACAGCCCAGGGACATGCAGCTCACTGCTGGGCTTTTCCCCTCTGGAGGGGACTGCCTGGCCTGTGACAAGGGCTGGCCATTCTAAGTGCCACCTTTCTCATCACCCTTGCTACAGCCAGGTCAGAGCCAACTCCAAAATCTCCGCAGCCTTGCCAGCAGTGCTGGCAGGCACCGTCCTCCGCAGTCCAGGTTAATTGAGCCTCTCCTCCCAGTGTCCTGTTCCTCCCAGCATCTCCTTCCCATGGCCACATCCCTGTGTGGACACGTTCCTTGGCCAGCCTGGAAGGAGCACACACCACATTGCCCCTGGGACAAACAGTTCCAGCAGGGTGGGGAAATGGAGGCATACAGGAATCACCTGGCAGAGTACCCCCTTGGCCTCCCCCAGTTCTGGAGGACCAGCCAGCTGGACAGGGGCTGAGCTCCCCAGCCGGGTGACTGCCTTTTACCTCTGGCCCTATCAAGAGAGCAGTGATTGGCATTGTGACTTGCCAGGAGCTTGGGTGCTGGTGGCCCTTTGGGGCAGCGCAAGCTGGGGCTGAGTCCAGCTTCATCAGCACCACACAGCCTTCTTGTTGCCTCCTTGGTCCCTCCCATGGGATGGGCTCCAGTGGCCCAGCTCCTGCTCAAACCTGGCTCCCTGCTCACTGCGGTACAGTCCTGTCTCAAGGAAGCCTCAAGGGTGAGCTGCAGCCAGGAGGGTCTGTGTATGGGGGTATCAGAACTGTGGCAGGGACCAGGGGTTTCAGGGCTGGTGAGGTGGCACAGGCTGGGATGGGTGACAAGGAGTGGAAAGAGAATGTCTCTTGTGCAGGGGTGGTGGGGAATCTTCAGCACCACAGAGCATGATCTCCTGGAGCTGAAGGGCTGCAGCTCTCTCCCAGGTGCCCAGGATGCTGGTGCTGTGCCTGCTGTCCCTGGCCTGGCTCAGCGAGGGCTCCCAGCGCAGTGAGCCCATGTTTGTTGCTGTTACCCACCATCTTCTCCCACCTGACTACGACAGCAACCCCACACAACTCAACTATGGTGTGGCTGTCACTGACCTGGATGCCGATGGTGACTTCGAGATCGTGGTGGCAGGGTGAGTGATGCACCTAGCACCTTGATGACAGTGGGACCTGGTGGCCCCACAGGCCAGGAGCTCCGTGCTCTTCCATGGGCATGTGGCCTGCTTGGGGGCTACACAAGAGTGACGGGGTGGGGGTCTGCATACACCCACACACCTGTGTGTGTAAACTCACATAAGGTGTTGATGCCAACTGGGTGCCTGCTTGGGGCAATGTGGGTGTCCCCATCCCAGCCCTGGGGCCAGGTCTCCTCTCTGAGGTGTGGTGGCAGCTGCCCAGTGGCCAGGGTCTACCCTGCAGTGTGGAGCCAGTGTGTCCCCAGGCCATCTCAGCTCCACTGACAGGACTCAGTGCTCTCCAGAGATTCAGTTAATTGGCTGGAGGTTTTTTTTAGTCCTTTATTGGAATGATGGCTCAGAAGGGCTGGCAGGAGCTGGGGAAGCAGGGAACCGTGTGCTCGCTGCCAGTGCCTGAGTGGGGCTGGACATGGAACAGCTGTTGCCAGCAGGTCCGGCACTGGCGAGGGACAGCAGGGACCATGGCACAGCTGTGAGCTGCCAGCACACTGTCTCTGTGCATGCACCACCATGCTCTCCCCTGAGGGAGGCTTGCACATGCAGGTGTGCTCACCTGGAGGAGACCCCTCACTCCCACAGAACCCCTCTGGGAGAGGGGTGCAGGAATCAGGGCACCAGAGTGGCAGGGGGAGTTCAGCCCTGCCAGCTGTCTTGAGCATCACCCTGGGGCAGCAAACCACAGGCAGCCCTGGGGACACACAGAGGGGCCCGGGCCGCTACTCCCAGTAGGGCTGAGCCAAGCAGCCAGCTGGGGTTTTGTAAGCGGCCACAGTGCCCGTTGTATAACTTGTTTACTGGTGCACCGGGCAGAAGCAGGCGGGGAGCCTGTGGGGAGCAGCATGCCAAGAGGATTTGCCTGGCATGCCAGTTTCCTTGCCCTAGGAAAGGGCTGCAAGCAGGGACCTGTGCCCCATCCTTCCCCACTGGTTGCCTGGACCCAGCCCCTGCACTAGCATTCCCCTAGGGATGCCTGACATGTGGTGGAACACATCCAGGCTGAGCCCACACCTGCAGCAGCTGGAAGCCAGCCCCACATGTGGGTGCTGAGGACAGCCTGGGGTCCCCGGTCTCCATGGGCCATGCAAGTTTTTGCTGTGCCCATCATGGGGAAAACTTGGTGTCACATCTTGTTACACCCTAGAGATGGGACAGGGGCTTTCATCTCGTCCCCAAGCCTCAGGGAGCCATTGTGCCTGCTCACTCCCACAGGTACAGAGGGCCCCGGGCCGCTACTCCCAGTAGGGCTGAGCCAAGCAGCCAGCTGGGGTTTTGTAAGCGGCCACAGTGCCCGTTGTATAACTTGTTTACTGGTGCACCGGGCAGAAGCAGGCGGGGAGCCTGTGGGGAGCAGCATGCCAAGAGGATTTGCCTGGCATGCCAGTTTCCTTGCCCTAGGAAAGGGCTGCAAGCAGGGACCTGTGCCCCATCCTTCCCCACTGGTTGCCTGGACCCAGCCCCTGCACTAGCATTCCCCTAGGGATGCCTGACATGTGGTGGAACACATCCAGGCTGAGCCCACACCTGCAGCAGCTGGAAGCCAGCCCCACATGTGGGTGCTGAGGACAGCCTGGGGTCCCCGGTCTCCATGGGCCATGCAAGTTTTTGCTGTGCCCATCATGGGGAAAACTTGGTGTCACATCTTGTTACACCCTAGAGATGGGACAGGGGCTTTCATCTCGTCCCCAAGCCTCAGGGAGCCATTGTGCCTGCTCACTCCCACAGGTACAACGGCCCCAACCTGGTGCTCAAGTACGACAAGGCACAGGGGCGGCTGGTGAACCTGGCAGAGGACGAGTGGAGCTCCCCGTACTACGCACTGCGGGACCGGCAGGGCAATGCCATCGGCGTGACAGCCTGTGACATCGACGGGGACGGCCGTGAGGAGGTGTACTTCCTCAACACCAACAACGCCTTCTCCGGTGAGTCCCACCGGCAGCTGTGCCCTCAGCTCCAGGCTCAGGGGGAGCTCCCGGCACGGCCGCCCGCGACCTTCGGCGTGTGAGGGATGTGTGCGGGCTGGAGTTAATTTCTCAGTTGAGTGGCTCCATTGATTGATGGCAGCATGGGCGGGACACTGAGCCCAGCCAGTTGCCAAGTCAGCATTTCCAGCTGCCCTGCACCCTCCCCACAGCACCCCAAGTGGGATGGCAGCTTCCCTGACATCTCTGGGGCTGCCCCTTCACGGAGATCTTGCACAGCAAATCCTAGCTGTGCCCTGCACCAGCCATGGCTTTCCTGTGCCCTCTGGACCAAGCCAGGCCTAATTCTGCCCTACCAGAGCTGTCCCAGCTCCTAGGATGCCTGTCCTGAGGACTGGACCATGATGTGACAGCCCAGCACTGGGCCTTCCTGGAGCTCTGTGGGTTTGTGCTCTAGCCAAGCTCTGCTTCATGTCCCTGTCCCATTGCCCTGACCTCCACACAATGGATCTGTCTTCCTGATGCTCATAATTACCTGGACTGGTGGTACATCTGTCCCTAAATCAGGTGCTGCCATCGGAGCTGTCACGGGCAGAGCAGCTCGCTGCCTGTGCCTGGCACTGCATCGATTTTTTACCTTTCCAGGGATGATCTATGGGGCTGTGCCCCGTTGGGACACATTTTACCTTAATGAGTTGATTCTTCTGCTTGTCTCCTGGCTGCCCTTAAGGGTCACAGGCACTTTTGCAGCAGCACTGTGGCCCTGTGGCATTGCCAGGGGCTGTGGGGAGCAGAGCAGGGGTTTGTGCTGCTCTGGGAACAGGGTACCCCTTCCACAGCCTCCCCTTGTCACAGGGCAACCTCCTTGGGAGGAGGTGGGAAGCTGAAGCCCCCTGACCTGTGCCCACCTCCCCTCCCACCCAGGCATGGCCACCTACACAGACAAACTCTTCAAGTTCCGCACCGGGCGCTGGGAGGACCTCCTGAGCGACGAGGTGAACCGAGGCGTGGCCAGCCGCTTTGCCGGGCGCTCCGTTGCCTGCGTGGACC